AAGGCATGTGCCACTATGCCCAGTTAAAGGCTGTTTTTTGAATTGACATACAGTATTTGTACTTGTTTATGGAGTTTAATAACCCAATATACATAACATGATTATGAAATTAGAGTAATCAACCACTTTTCCAGTATTCGTTTTGAAAATGTATAATTAATTGTTGTTAACATTAACCTGTGCTAAAGAAAATTAGAGCTATTGCTTCTAATTCTGTGTGCCTGTCATTCACCCTCTGTCATCTTTCCCTATACTTCATAGCCTGTAGTGAGCTCTATTCTACTTTATATTTTCATGTTACTAACTCTTAAAAGTTCACAGTTGAAATGCAGTATTTCATTTCCTTGAATATATATCTAACCAGAGTGCTGCTAGTTTATGTAGTAGGTCTATTTTCATTTTTGAGAACCCCCTGTAATGATTTTGGTACTATATCAGTCTACATTCCCACCAATAGTAGAGTTCTCTTTGTTTATAGCTTATCGTCATAGGTGCTCATGCATGTGTGTGTGTGTAGGCATGTGTGTGCTACAACATATGGATGTGTACTTCAGAGGACAGCATTTGGAAGTGGATTCTCTCATACCTTGTAGAGGCAGACTTTGTCCTGTTTCTGCCCCCCTGCATGCTCCTGTCTCTACATTCTCGTTTCGCAAGAGTTATGGGATTAGAGGTGCATGCCACTACATTACATGGGTTCTGCATCAAAAATTGTATCATTGGCCTTGCATTACAAGCACTTTTATCTGCTGAACCATCACACCAGCACTTGTTTTATTGGTAAGAGCCATTCTAACTGAGGTGAAATAATATCTCACTGTAGTTTTGAGTTGCATTTCCCTGATGATTGCGGTGTTGCTCATTTCTTCATGTACTTATTGCCCATATATCATCTTTTCAGAAATGTCTGTTTAGATCATTTCCATTTTTAAATCAAATTATTTAGGATTTTTACTGTTAGGTTGTTTGGACAAGATTTAATAATCTGAGTCTATAGTGGAATATGACAGCAGCAAAATAGGGTTGGGAGTATACTAACAAGAAAGGTAAACTATTGTGCCAAAGGTTCCCCCTAGAAGTCTTAGCTACAGTAGAGTTCCTTAAAAGTGTAAGACAGTAACTGAGACCTTAGGGCACAGGCCTGTAATCCTAGCTGCATGGGAGGCCAAAGCAGGAAAATCAGCAAGTTTACGGCTTGCCTGTGCTACACAGTGAGTGAGGACTAGAGATACAGTTCAGGGGCAGAGTGCTCACATAACATGAATTCACTCTACACAAAAGAAATTTTTCATATCAGTAAGATGACCGAGGTAAATAACTACGTATTGCAAGTTTATCTTAAAGCTTTACATGCATCTGGGCACATGCCTGTAATCCCAGCACTCGGGGAGGCAGAGGCAGGTGGATCTCTGAGTTAGAGGCCAGCCTGGACTACAGAGCAAGTCCAGGCCAGCCAAGGCTACACAGAGAAACCCTGTCTCAAAAAAGCTTTACATGCATATACAATCTCATCTGAATGTACGTTTTTGGTTTAAAAACAAAACAGAAAACCTACTGGTAAAGTTAAAGTATATTTAAGTCTAGTCCAAGGTGATATTTACTGACAAATAAATCTTAGTATACTCGTGAGTATAATTTTATCCTTTTATTTCCCCCCAGTTTCTATCCTTTAGGAGGGGGAGGGTGGGAGAGAGGTGAGAGCAAGTGCATGAGAATGTATGTGTTTATCACTCAGTTTAAACTTAGAGGGGCATGGATAAGGGGTTATTTATTTATAGGAGTATGGGTATCCAGTGACTGTACTGCTGAAGAAAACGTCTCTTCCTTCCCGTTAGAAACCATTAACTGTTTGAAATAAGTCAGAGAGGGGCAGAGCATTATAGGTACTTCACTCTGTGATGGAATGTTGACAAGCCTCATCTTACACAGGCTTTGTGAAAAAAATAAATACTGGGGTTAAAGAGTCTTATTGTGTCTGAAAAACACTTCCCCACTTCTTCTGGCTCTCATATCCTTTCTGCCACCTCTTCTACAGTGTTCTCTGAGCCCTGGAGGAAGTGATACAGATGTTCATGTAGGGCTAAACATTTCAATCCTTATTCTCAATATTTTGAACAATTTTGAGTCTCAGAAATAACCACTGCCCATTGCAAAAAGAAGCTTCTCTACCAAAGCTGACAGCAACCCTAATCTGCTACATAAACAAATATTTGGAAGGCATTTTGACAGGTACGTCATGTTTATTTAACAAAAAACCGTAGTAGCTTCCACCAAGGCATATGACCTTATCCTCACCACAGCCTTTTTAGTTTAACAGTACCAAGTGTGATTTCCCTCCGTAGAGCAGGCTTTAGTCTAAAGAGCAGTTGGTTACTCCCATACCAACCAGGCCACTATTGCACCACTATTGCAACCAGGCACCAGCTTGCCTGGCAGATCAGAATAGCATTCAGTGTCCACAGCTGAGTGAGCAGAATTGATGGCACTTCTCCCCCAGCAGAGTCTACATTTAGAAGTGGACCTTATTCCTAGTTTCACACTTAATAATACATGATCGTAGACATTTTCTGTAGTCTCCTTATGACCTCAATTTCTATTTTAAAGGAAGGGTGTGTACTATAATTATCCATTATAGCAACCACTTGCTATATAGGATAGTGAATATTTAAAATGTAACTCATCTGAGTTGAAATTAAGTATAGTATATACTATGTTTCAAACAAAGATTAGCCATGATTACAACATATCAAAGATTTAGATTACCCTCTTTCATACTGTCATTAATAATTCATCAAAATAGTCTTTAACAGACTGAGTTTGTTTCTACTCTGGACTGTAATAGATACTCAGTGTGCTCTTTCTTTTCTTTTGAATTGTAATGACAGAGACAGATAAGTAGTTTAGTGAGAAAGGGGGATGGGGAATGACTGTTGATGGATTCAAGGTTTCTATGTACGACTAAAGAAAATTATATTATTTTACAGGTACTTTGAATATACTAAACCCACTGAATTTTTTTTATTTTTTTTTGAAGTAGATATGAACAACCTGGTAAATATAATAAAGCAGCGTACTAAACATGATACATAATAATGAAGTCATTCCAAAAAAAAAAAAGCCAAATGCAGATCAGTTATGAAGACAATAACACAACTTGTAAAAGTGTTTTTAAAAAAATATACTGTCAATTAAAAAAGTTTTTACTGCGTTTCAAAATTCATACCATACAGCTGTTCTGCAAATCTCTATATGGTATTGGCACCTGGAACCATACAGATACCCTTATATATAAAATGTTACTGTATTTGTAATATCTATTATGTATATCCTCTCATACTTTTAATTGTGTCTAAATTATTTACAGTACTTAATAATACGTAAGTGCTATATAAATAGTTTTTGTACTGTGTTGTTCAGGGAATGCTGATGAGAAAACAATCTCCACAGAAGCATTTTATTCCCCCATTTTCAATGTGAAGTTGGTTGAAACTGTAGATGGGAAACTCACAAGTATATAAAGTTATTTGCATATTGTTTATAGAGGCCGTCTATTCAGTTCCCTGTTCTTATTGTTTATTCATATTATAAATATCTTGTAGTTAAAATGCCACCTGTATCTTAAAGATGGTATACAGTAGTGAGTGAATAGCCAGTCTCTGTATGTAACTGAATTAGTGACAACAGTGTATATGTAACTTGCTCGTTAAGGCTGAGTGTGGTAGTGCACACATAGAATCCAAGTGTGCCTATAGTGTAATCCCAGCACTCCCTAAGGAAGAGGCAGGAGGGTTAGCAATTCAGGGTTATCCTCTGCTGTGTTTGAGGTCAGCCTGGGGTAAAGGAGAGCTTATCTCTGTCTATACCTACCTATTACAAGTTACTTACTTTGTATCTCAGCTATAGCCACCTCCCAGCCCCACCTTCCTTCCCCCTTCTCTAGTGCACTGATAGGGAAGGCCCTCCTCCCCTTCTATCTGACCCTAGTCTATCAGGTCTCATCAGGACTGGCTGCGTCATCTTCCTCTGTGGCCTGGCAAGGCTGCAATTCCTCCTCCCCCCGGGGGGGTGACCAAAGAGCTAGCCACTGAGTTCATGTCAAAACAGCACCTGCTCTCCTTACTAGGGAACCCACTTGGACACTGAGCAACCTATGGGCTGCTTATCTCAATTTAAAAAACAAAAAAGCGCACCAAAACCCTACCATATTGTTAATGTTACTTCTTTTCTGGAGACACCTATCTAAATACAGAAATCATGTGGCATTTGGGGCAAGCTTTTGAAAGAGAATATAAAGTTAGCAGGCAGAAGTTGGAAGACTATCCCAGAATTTATGTATCTTATGTTAGTATTTTTGTCTTTATCAGATTGTAAAACATACAGTCTAAGGGATTTTTTGGGGTTTTTTTTTTTTTTTTTTTTTTCACGTTGCTTTGAAACTGATCAAATATTCCCCACTTTATGCAATTAATTCTTTGGTTTGTAGTACATAGGGTTTATTAGCAATGTACCTTATACAATCAAACCATTATTTGGTACATAATTTTCCTTCTGAAAATAGCAGTGGGTTTTAATTTTAATTGCTCCTAGAACAGTATATTACAGTATTATATTTATGCTATAATTTAGGACACATTATGTATAAAAGTATAGTGTGGTTTGGGGGCCAAGCAGACCTTGTTTTAACTTCATTTACTAATTTAATGTGACCCAATAAGGCCTGTTTAATATTTAATTAATATTTCTACCTTCATTTTCTCATATCTAAAATGGGGTAATAACCTTCTGTGAGTACTTTTAAAAATAAACAAATTACTGTAATTAGCATAAAGTAACCACTCAATAAATGATAACCTCTCATTGCCACTTAATATGCTAAGTTTTTAATCAAACTTAAATTTTTTTAGTTGTCAGTTTCATACATTTCATTATGTATTTTACTGACTCCTACCTTTTCAAAAACATAACAAAATAATAAGTAATATTCTATTTTACTATTTCAGTCAAAGAAAAATAAGAAGAAGTCAAAGTCAGATGCTAAAGCAGTGCAAAACAGTTCACGCCATGATGGAAAGGAAGTTGATGAAGGTATTTGAGCAAGGGAAAGGCCTATAGAAAATATTTAAATTTTTTTAACTGAGGTGTGTGGTATGTAGTGCTTTTTAATTGCCATAAATTTTATCATAAAGATCTGTGACGTTGTTAAGAAACACTTTGGTTATCTAAAGTCATTTAAGCATCCAGTAGTGCTTACTTATCCTTTAAATTTATGTTTGCTCAATATTTTGAGCAATATAGAGGCCATTCATCTTGTCTTTGTTTCCTAAAAATATGGTTTGGAGTTTCCCATTTTCTTAAATATACCATTACTAAAAGGCTGTGTGCAAAATTCTTGAATAAGCCATTTATTATCATCACACCCTAAACTCATGTATTAGTAGCAGCTATAACTCTCCTGTCACCTGTACCCAACAGGATAAAAAGAAAAGAGACAATTCTTTTCTATCGCTTTTTCTAAACCATAGTTGACAAATTTTATTTAAAAAAAAACAAAACTAGAATAAAAATAGTTTTTTTTGCCTAAAATAACATGAGATTAGAATAAATTCTTAGGGTAAATTAATATAATCAGCACTCTTGGTTTTTAGCTTAATATCTAAACTTATTTTATCTGCCCATCCCATTTTTTTCCCTCAAAACTACAACTTTTTTGTTTTCCCCTTACTGAATAACATTTTTTTTCTCGGGCTATGTCAGGAGCCTGGGAAACTAAAATTAGTCACAGAGAGAAACGACAACAGCGTAAACGTGATAAAGTGCTGACTGATTCTGGTTCATTGGATTCAACTATCCCTGGGATAGAAAATACCATCACAGTTACCACCGAGCAACTTACAACTGCATCATTTCCTGTTGGTTCCAAGAAGAATAAAGGTATATTAGTGGAACATAAGAGTGGTACATCAAATCAAACTCCTTTAAGTCAGATGTACAAAATATTATGTCACAATCTATTTTGATCTGCTAACATTGTGCTGATATACCCTTCTTCATGAGAGTATTGCGAACCACATCCTGGTTTACCTCATAACAGCAGTGTTGTTAATATTGCCTAATGAATGGCTTATTAAATTAAAATTTGCCTTTCTGCCTTGAGTCACATTAGAAAATGTTGCTTCTTTTCCTGTGTGTGTTGCTTTGCCCTAGTCCTCTTACATCTCCATTTCTTACAGTAGATAAGACATTAATTAAATGGAATATTTATCATCATTCTGCATGTTGGGCACTTGCATTCCAAGATGAAACAAGCATGTTCTGGTTAGTGCAGGTTCTGTCTGTCCACCCGGTTTTTGGTTTTGTTTTTGACAATTCTGTAGGTATTGACAAAGCTAGACTAAACTTCAAAAGTGATGGAGCCAATGTCCTTCCTACCACAAATTCAGATGCACAATCTCTCCAATATTGATAGCTACCTCATGGTAGCACTTTGCATTGCTAACATTTTATCCTGAAGACACTAGTCTGCAAAGTGATGTTGTTCAACTTGCTGCAAAGCATTAGTTTATTTATTTGTCTTCTGTTAGTGACCTCCCTGTTTTTGTCCCTCGGTTGTTAGCAGATCACCTCCTTAGCCATGTTGCTTTATTTTTTCCTGCTAACTTAACTGAAATTTGTTGTCGTAGTACAGCAATGAGTTTTCCTTACCCATTCTCTGTCATATATTATCGATGCCTTTAGGTTTTTTTGTTGTTGTTGTTGTTGTTGTGACTCTTTTTACTGAATTAGGCATGCCTTCCTTGCTTGCATCTTGTATTTCATGGATATTTTGTGTTAGTTTGGTTTGGTTTTGGTACGTTGTGATAATTATGCTTATTTTGTGCCAGAAAATTGGAATTTTTATGTTAAAACATCTATTCTCACTTTTTACCATATTTCCTATGTTATATATAATCCCAAATCTGGCAATGTTCTTCTTAAGTTGATAATGCTTGCTTCTGGGATTATTGAAAAGGCAGCGCATATTGAGATGAGGCAAAGTTGAATCCAATTTCAGAGCTCAATTTTTCAGTTCCTACCTAAAAAAAAACCTTCAGACACATTACAGAATAACAGGCCCTGTTTATATTTGGGCAGTATTCTAGGATTTAGCATTTTAATTGACTAAAAGTGTGGTACTAAGAGATCTAATTCCCTGTGGACATTTGAAATATGTTGTAAAATCACTTTTTTCAATGTCAAAACTGGCACTTGAAGGAGCAATTTATTATAGATAACAATTGTATGTTCCTCCTTATTTAATGTGCATAGTGGCCTGTTTAGTATTAAATAAATTTTATTTCTATTTCAACCCAGGTGATTCTCATCTAAATGTTCAAGTTAGCAACTTTAAGTCTGGAAAAGGAGATTCTACACTTCAGGGTGAGAGAAATTACATATAACTTAAGCTGAAGGCCTGATAGAAACTTGGATACATGTCTCTTTCCTTACATGAATGATGTTAAAGGAAAGAAGGGATTAAAGTTATTTTTAATTTCTAAATTAATATGATCATAGTCCAGAGATTTTGAAAAATGGAAACAGAGGCTCATTTGTACTCTGGGTTTGATATGTTCTAGCTCCTCCCCCTCCTATATATCAAAACATTTAATAGTAATTTATGTGCAGTTTTGCTTCTTGCTTGCATCATTTAAGCCAAGAGAGAAGGATCTTTATTGGGCATGAATGTAATATGGGCATATTTGGGATAAAAGACTTTACTGTGCATCCTAAGAAAATGTAGTTCTCATCAATTTTAACTGCTTCCTTGATGGTATGTTGTGATAAGTGAATATAGTATAAGGTTATTGGGTGCTTCACAAACAAAAATAACCTGATTCATTCATTTCTTGTCAGTGAAGCAAGCAGAGCAGTATGCCATCCTAAAACCAGAAGTGTCACAGAAAAAAAAAGCACCTTCTCATTTCAGGCTTGTTCTTAACACTATTGCTTGCTTTATGCCCATGTATCTCAATTCTGGCTACATGTCTAGGAAGCTAAAACACACAGACACATGAGACCTGGATTCTGTCCTTGAGATCCTGACTTTTTCAGTTGGTCTGGGCTGATACCATAAAGTCTATTTAATTTTCTCATTTGGTTCTAATGTGCAGTCATTATACATAATCTATATAAAAGTGTATTTAAGGAAAGAATATGGTAACTAAGGAGAAGTCTTCATTTTCATAGTGGGTGAGTATGCAGAAATTACCAGAATGTGTTTTCATTTTGTCAATTTGCCATTGAGAAGCTGACTGCTCTGCATGTTACATTTTAAACCTGCTGCTGACTTTAAAATTAAGAAGGAGTCTATTAGGTATTGTGGCGCATGCTTGTAATCCCAGCACTATAGAGGCAGAGGTAGGAGAACATGAAACTAAAAGGGATCTGTAGTAACCTTGTCAGAACTGTATAGTTTACCTTTTTACACTCGAGCTACTTAAAGGACAATAAGAAAAAAGAATACTAAGCCGATCTGTCATAGAAATTTGAAAATGCCTAAGAAATCATGTATCTGTTCTTAATGTTTACTTTCTTTTCTTTAAGTTTCTTCAGGATTGAATGAAAATCTTACTGTCAATGGAGGAGGCTGGAATGAAAAGTCTATAAAACTCTCCTCACAACTGAGTGCAGTTGAGGAGAAGTGGAACTCTGTTCCACCTGCTTCTGCAGGCAAGAGGAAGACAGAGCCATCTGCTTGGACTCAAGACACTGGTGATGCTAATGCAAATGGGAAAGACTGGGGAAGGAATTGGAGTGATCGTTCAATATTTTCTGGCATTGGTAAGAACTTCTAGAAAAAAATAATTCACTTAAAATCGGTAAGCTGGATATGTCTTGAATTTTTCAGGGAATGGTGAAGGAAAGCAAGCCATCAGTTGACATATTCCTAAGCTGGGCATGGTAGTGCGTGCCTGCAATCCCAGCACTTGGAAAGTGGAGGCTGGAGGATCAGGAAGTTATCTTCAGCTGCATAGTGAGTTAGAGAATAGTCTGGCCTACATGGGATACTGTCTTTAAAAAAAAAAGAGGAAGACATACTAGTGCTGCCGTGCACAAGTAATAATGATAATTAACTTATCTCAGATCCTTTGCATAGAATAAAGCAAGTGGAACTAATGTGACTAACATCATTTACTCATAGAGAGTACTTTCACATTCTCTATCACATTTGCTCATCAGTATGGCTAACTGATATAATTATATGTTCTTAGTGATGTCATAAATGTAATATGTGAGTAGATGTGATAGCTTTTAGCAGTTTTATTGAGTCTAAAATACTAAATAGAAGTTAATAGCATCCATTTTATTTTTATAGTCTGTAAAATACCTGTTATAATTATTTTTTCCCAGGATTTTAATGGTAAAAATTAATAGTTGAGCAGTTTGTTTCTATTGGGAGGTATTGTGTTTTAAGCAACATGTGCTTATATATTGTAGAAAATAAACCTTTATTATAAATATAGAAAATTGCAAATAGGTAAGAGGAAGCATATTATCACACTACCCAGTGACAGCTACAGTTTTTGTATTTATGGGTTTTTCTCCACTATGTATACTTTTACTGAACTAAATATGCATTTTTATGTTCTTTTTTCCCCATCCCCAAATTCATAAAAAAAAGTTTTAGTTGCTTTATAAGCATGTTTACTTAATGGCCTTGTGTATTATAATAGTTTGCTCATCTATTTCTGTATCATTGGAGACTGACTTTTTAAAAACTGTTGGGTAATGTTAACATTTAGTATATTTGTTTAGGATATAATATTGGGAATGACTTGGGTTACAGAGTGTTCATTGTATTGTCATTTATTCTCATACTTTCATTTTTAGTGTAAATGCCTGATTATGGTATTTTTACTTAACCAAGGTTGAACATTTTTTATTCTTCTGATTTGATAAGCAAAAATGTATAAATTATTTTGGTTGACTTTTACATCACTAATGCAATTAGACATTTTCCATTAATTAAGTGATCATTTCTATATCTTTTATCAGTTAACTATGTTCTTTGCCATTTGCCTAATGGCCTTATGCTGTTTTGTTGGCTTTTTAAATTTGAATTAAAATTTCTCAGATAGGAAATAAATTACTTTTTCTTTTCTTTTTGGGTTTTTGTTTTGTTTTTGTTTTATCAAACTCTGTAGCCCTACCTAGCCTAGAGAACTGTGTTGACAAGGCTGGTTTGGAACTCCCAGACAGTGTGTCTCTGCCTTCTAAGTGTTGGAAATACAGTTGTGAGCCACCATGCCACACTTGGCCATGCCCGTTTTCTCTGTTGTACTTATGGCAGGTATTTTTGATAACTTAGCGTAACTTGGTGAGCATTGGGTACTCGAAGTTCTTACTTTGTAAGAAAAAAAAAAAAAAAAAAAAAACACAACCTCTTCCTTTGCCCTTAGCTTTCCGGCCTTTAGAGACTAATGCCCTCAACAAGCAAACTATGATTTATTCAGTCATACTGTTCCAGGTTGCTCCCATCTCCTAAAAATACCAAAATCTGTTAACAAAGATAATCCCTAAATCTGTACCATCATTTTCAACAGAGAAAGGAGAACAAATTGCCTTGATAAAAAATCCTCTTATATTTAGTTTTTTAAAATGACCAGGTTTTATGCAGTAATGTTAGGAACACTGACCTTGTAATATATTTCTAGTTTACTTACAGAAGCTATGTAGTTTCACTATTAGAACATAGATTACATAGTGTTTGGTTAATGTTAAAGGTAAAGTTAAGCAACCTGTTAGATAGGTGGGCTTCCCTAGCTGGATTTAAGATTTTGTTAAAATTGAAAGAGAACTGTGTTAAGATGGATCAAGGAAAGGCAAGTATGACTGATCATGAGGACATGTGTGTCCTCCTTAGAATACAGTCATGTCAGGTAAAAAGACATCTTTAAAATGTATGCTAGGGAATTTGTTGTTGTGTCGACATCATGGCCTGTACTTACACTAAGAACCTAGGATGCCACTAGCTGAGAAAGCCTTATAGGGCCACATGTTTATGTGGCCTGCTATCGGTCAGAGTATCATTCTGTTTTCAGAGAAGTAACTTGGAAATGTTAAAAAAAAAAAAAAAAAGATAGCATGATGTAGTCAAATGAAGACAGACTACTTAAGACAGAGCTATTGGGAGCTTATGAACATTTAGTTATGTAGCCTGAATGAGTCTCATATGTAAGTAATTGTGAGAATTGATTGTAATGAATGTTGGATACCAAGTTTGGAGCCTAGTCTAAAGTAATTCCTTAAATTATGATAAATAATGATTGTGTAGTAGAAAGAGTAACCTTTGAAACTGACTTTAGGTTCCTCTTATAGTTAAGTAGTTTTCTAAGTATTAGAAAATCATTTGCCTCTGTAAAATGGCCTAGCAGGGTTGCTATAAGGATTAGTTTATAGCAGTTTATAAGGGAGCCACCCACATAGTAGATACTCAGTAAATAATAGCTATTGCTATTTTATTGGTTTTTGTTTTTAAGATAATCTTTAAATATTGCTATCATAGTTTTAAATCTGTACATCTTTCAAGTTTCATTGCAAATTGAAGGTTGCAAGTGACGTTCTTTATTTTGCCAGCTGCTTGGTCTAGTGTGGCTAGGGGGATGAGTGCCTCTCAACAGAACTCTGCTTCTTTTGCATCTCTCACACTTAACTCTGCTGTCTCTGGTATGTGAAAACAGTCTTTCATTTAGTTAACCAAAGCATTTTTGTTTACTTTTAAGCACTTGTTATCTGAAAAATTGATTAGCATCAAATATTGCTATCAACATAATTAATATATGTAATAGCATAGGTCTTTAAGTTGTGCCAGTGACTTAGATTCTATGGTCTGCCATTGGCAATTTATTAGCATAAATACTCCTAGAAGGCCTTCCTTTTAGGTTAGGGCAGCGGTTCTCAACCTCCCTAATGCTACGGCCCTTTAATACAGTTCATCATGTTGTGGTGACCCCAACCATAAGATTACTTTTACTGCTACTTAATATAGCTGTAATTTTGCTATTGTTATGAATCATGATGTAAATATCTGTGTTTTCTGATGGTCTTAGGCAACCCCTGTAAAAGGGTCATTCAATCCCCAAAGAGATCATGTCCCACAGATTGAGAATCATTGGGTTAGGTGGTTCTTGTGGCTGAATTTGGCATTTCTATTCACGCTTACTTGTTACAAGTTTATAAATATGCCTCTCAAATTCTATGGACAACACATACATAATAACTTTTTTTAGTATCTGTTGAGTCAGAGTACACACTGTTATTGATAAACTGTCAAACCAGCATCACCTAAACGGAGGTAGGTCTTATCTTAACCAACAAAAGTTACATATGTTTATCAAATATTACATAAGTAGGGGTGCACTTTTGATTTATACTACTTTATTCACAAAGCTTCCTATGGACACTTCATTTACTAATGATGTTACTTTATGGGTTTTGGAACACTAGCCTAGAATGGGGCTAGCAGATTCTCTAAAAGTAAATAGGAAGGAGCTCAGGTTTTGTGGGCCATACTGTCACTGTTACAACTATCAACTCAGTTCTGCCAAAGTAACAAGAAAGCAAACAGAGATAATATACAGGCAAATGAGTGTATTGCCCGTAAAACACTATTCATTTGACTTTTTTTCAACCGTTTAAAAATATGAAATTCTTCTTGGTTCATGTACCAATTAAAATCTGTGGTTGGAGTTACTTATAAGATACAGTTTGCTAACCCCCGGTCTCATCACCCATAAGTACAGAAGAGCACGTTAATTGCTTCCTTCATTTGGTGATACAACACAGATTCATACAATCAGAGCAGTAGGGGCTACTGAAGTAATTTGGTTATATTTATGCAACTAAGTGGCTAATATGCTAAATATTACCACATTCTTAGGGTAATCTGCTAAATTCTATATTAAAATATATTGCTGTTTTTCGTATGTAACTAGATAGACAGTAATCGTTAGTGAAATGAAATGCTAGCAATCTCATCTACATAACCAGGTATAAATTAGTGAGGACTATGAAGGAAAGAAGTGATTGTTAGTCTTATACTAACCAAGGACCTATACCTCTTAAGCATTTTTTCCTGTCAGTAGCTCTGAATCCAAGTGACTATCAAGAGTCACCTAAGGACTCTTAATACACAGAAATTCTGATTTGGAAGCTCTTGTGTGTATGTGTGTGTCTCTTTGTGCACCTGACAGAATGCTTTCATTTGCACTCTTAATTTGTAGCCATAGAGCAATGAGTTGACCTTACTTTCATGGATTATTATGCCCCAAAACTATATTCAGATTTTTGTACAAAGTTCTGGACATTGGGCCACCACTGCTTTCATCAAATTCCTAAGAAACCTTGTAACTCTCATCCTACCTTTTCCAACAGCCAAATTTAGGAAATAATATTCTATTCTTTTAAATGCACCTGAACTTACCTCTCAGTTTCTAGCAATCTTGTCTCTGACTTTTCTCTCTCACCTCTCTGGTTAATCCTGTTTCTTTAACTTTCTGTGGCCTAAAAGTTGAGCTAACTCAAACATTTTCTAATCATTTTTCTGAGTTCTGAGGATATATACATACACTGAAGCATCTAGCAATAAGATGTGTTTTACTACTTACCTTTAAGAAGAAAAATGGAACTTCTTTCAACATTTTGAAATTTGCAGATAATAAAAGTCAGGCTCTGATTGGTACAGGTTGGTGGTGGTGAATTAGATCTAATTATCATACTTAATTTAAAATTTCCCTCAGTTTTACTTTTCCTTTTAATTTAACTCTTTTGCTATGTCTAAATTTTCCTTTTAGGAGAAATTAAAAAAAAAAAAGAGTCCATGTGCAAACTATAGAATTATTGTTATGAAGCATCCTTAGGAAATTCCATTTTTAATTTTATTGCATTCGTTTTTCATTTAAGGGTCTACTGCTGAGCCAGTTTCTCAGTCTACCACTTCTGATTATCAGTGGGATGTTAGCCGTAATCAACCCTATATCGATGATGAATGGTCTGGGTTAAGTATGTCCTTTTAAATTTTTTCAGTTACTTTTCTCAGAATTTTCTTTCTAGCACCCTAAATTTATGTTTTCTGTCTTAATTGTAATCCTAATTTCTCCCCTTTAAAGGTCATACTAATATAATTTAACACCAGCTGTACTACTTGGAACTTGATTCTGACTGAATTTTAAGGAATTAAAACTAACTTTCCATAATGACTGAGGCAGTGTTTTCACATAGTTGTTTTATAGGACTAATTTTTAATTTTTTCTATTTAAATAAATAGTTCTGTTTCTCTGGTTTTAGGGTAAGTAAAAGAAGAAATAGAATCTGTAGCAGTAGCTTTGAATCATTTATGGTGTGTGCACATTTTTGTGCTAGTGAACAACCATTTTCATAGCCCAATTTCCAATAGAAACATACGTTTAAAAGAAAGAATTAAGCTGGGTGCCGTGGCACACATCTGTAATCCCAGCACTCAGGGAGGCAGAGGCAGGCAGATGGCTGTGAGTTTGAGACCAACCTGATCTATAGTGTGAGTTTCAGGACAGCCAGTGCTGCACAGTGAAAACCCTGTATTGAAAAACAAACAAAAACAAAAAGAAAAGAAAAAGTATGCTGCACATTGTGTCATTGTGCTAGGAGGGAGAGACAAGGCTGAGCTCTCTTGAGTTCAAGGCTAGTCTGGTCTATATAGGATTTCCAATTAACAGGATTGCATACAAGACACTGTCTCAAAAAAGTAAGAAAGAGAAAAAGAAAATAGTCTTAATATTGGAAAAGTTTACCACTTTCATTTAAAATTACAAACTTCTAAGGGTTTTTTTTCCTCCTAAAACTCCAAATTTCAGAATTTATCTTTTCCTCTGAATTTTTATGTCCCATTCTTTCCTACCTTGTATATATTCCATCATTTTGGTCTTTCTTTTAGAAAAGAAAGTACAGAGTTAATGTTTCTGTATAAAAGTTTTTTTAAATAATTTTTAAAATTATCTTCTGAATGTCATTTTTTTCTATGACCTTATTTTAACGTTTGTTTGTTTGTTTGTTTTTGTTTTTGAGTTGAAACCCCCTAAAAGAAAAACTTGGTTACTCTTACATATATACTTTTTTACAGTATGTGGTTCTAACTAAATAACCCTGGTTAGCCTAGGACTCAGTGATCCATCTACCTAAACTCTGCTTTCCAGGTACTAGTATTAAAGGCATGCACCATAGTCCCCAGCTACTGCAGTTCTTTAGTATTTAGTATAATATGTGATTTAAAAAAAACGATTTAGTAGTAATGGTGATAAAAGTAAACACAGACTGTCTACCCAGGATAGTCTTCTGCATATTACTTAAAACAGTTGTATTAGTTGGATACTATTTTCCCTCACACTTTTCAGATAAATTGAAGCAAACAGAAGTCTAACTTTCTACAAACTATTTAAGTGGAAGAGGATGGGATTCAGACCTTAGTCTTGCTCCTTTTGTTTTCTCTAATTCCTGCTTGGTATAGTCACAATAATAATAGTAACCATGAAGGCAAACTTGTAACACAGTGATGGAAGCAGATTCCTTAAAGATTAAGGGAGATGGGGTTAGAGAGGCCATGTCTGGAGATTAAGAAGAGAGGAGTCAAACTGTGTGTGTGTGTGTGTGTGTGTGTGTGTGTGTGTGTGTGTGTGTGTGTGTGTGTGTGTGTTTGGGGGTGGAGCGTGTGTCTTTGATCCCAGCATTCGGAATGCAGAGGCAGGCAGATCACCAAGCTCAAGGCTAGCCTTGTTTACCAGCTAAGTTCCAGGACAGCTAGGACCACACAGAAAAACCCTGTCTTGAAAAACAAACAACAAAAACCAGATTGTTTTATTTTGTTCTTTGTTATTTTGGTGTTTTTTTTTTGTTTGTTTGTTTGTTTGTTTTTAAGACATGGTCTCACTTTGTAGCCCAGCATCAAACTCCAAATTCTTGAGTTCTGAGATTATAGTTGTGTACCACTATGCCCAACTAATGGTACCTGCTTAGAAAGTTCAGTTTTAGTCCTGGGTTTAGAATAGAGTATTTATATAGAACAAGTAGAATAAGTAGAACAAATAACCCATTTTGTCCACTTTGTGAATAGTTTTGAAAAAGCTTTATAAATTATAGTGAATCAGGGTGTATAATGGGTTTTAAAGACAAAATAGTCTATGCTGCTTAGGAAAAGTAATTACCTCTATACAGTGCAGAACTAGGAAGTGATTGCAGGAAAACCCCAGTAAAAGATCTGGCCTGCTAAGAGTTAAGACAACACTGAACCAGCAACTACAGACTTTCATGCTGGACATTTTTTCCTTATCTGTACGGAGTTTGTTAAATATGAAACCATCATTGGCTGCTAAAGAAATAGTTTAAAAAAAGAAAGAAAAGTTACATATAAAAATGTGTTGATAAGATTCTAGATTCTTAAAGCCAGGAATGTTCTGACACAATGGTTTAGCTTTACAACCCGAGTTCAAGCACCAAAACCCACATGATATTAAAAAAAAAAAACAAAAACAAAAACTATTCCTGCTAGTTGTCCTCAACATTTCCACATACATACACATGCACACACACAAAATGAATGATTAAATAAACATTAATCTTATGGGGGGAGGGGTCTAAAGAGATGTTCAGGGGCTAAAAGCACCTGCTATTTATATAGGATGGCTCATAACTATTGTAACTCTAGTTTCAGGGGATCTGATACCTTCCTCTGGCCATGGCACACATCATACATAACTGTAAGAAAACACACATACACATAAAATAAAAATACAGAAAAATGTGGGGTGGTGATAGTGCGCACCCTTAATCCCAGTACTCAGGAGACGGAGGTGATCTCAAAGTTCAGGGCCAACCTGGTCTATAGAGTAAATTCCAGGAAAGCCAGTGCTACACAAAACAAACAAACAACCCCCCCCCCATAAAAAAAGAGTGTGTCTGTGTGTGTGTGTATTTTAGAAAGCTAGGTAATGGGAGTGAGTGAGTGTAATCCCAGTAGTTAAATGGTAGAAGCACTTAGAAGAATCAAGAGGATCAGGGGTTCAGGATCTTTTTTGACTTCAGTGAGTATCAAGTTCAAGGCCAACCTGAATGAGACCCTATTGTGAGAGAAATTCTATACATAATGTATATCAAGAATACCATCTTTGACCCAGGCACAGTGGCACATACCTGTAGTCCTAGCACCAAAAAGGAAAAGAAAAGAATACCATCTTCCAAGTCTTCTACATCCACAGTGTGTGTCATCCTTAACATGCTTTTTTTTGTGTGTGTGCTCATTGAATTATTATACTCCTTAATTGTTACTTCTGAATTTATAGAATACATTATGTAGTGTATTATGGTTCATTTTAATACCATCTTGCCACAAATTAGAATCAACAATCCCATTCATTACAGCTCTTTCTAATTGAGGGGCAGTGCTTAGTACTTACTCAGTCCACAGGGCAGGGTGCTTCTGTAGTACCAGTCTGGTGCCATAAGCCTAGAATGTTTCTGGAGAGCTTCTGGTCTCTGGTCTATGATAAAAGCTTGGAAACATGGATCATATGGAGTAGCAGTAGCAATGGGGCAAATTAACTTGGTGGCAAGATGGAAGGCCAACTGAGCAAAAGGCTATTCAGTGGAGTATTGCTATTGTTTAAACACTGGAGAATGTCTGTCAAACATACCTGTGTTTTACTAAATCATTAAACTTACTGTTTATAGGAGTTCTGAGAAAAATAATTGATACAGGCAATGCTATATTTGAACCTAAAATATTATTCCACAAGAAGATTAAATGAAGCGATAAATTCCTTACCTATATATTTTATTTCTATATTATATGTATGTATACATACATACACACAAATCTACGTGTGTGTGTGTGTGCTTTTTAAAAGGGATTGGCAAACTCATACAAAAATTTTGGGGTAGAGTGCTGGGCAGTGGTGGTAAGTGCCAGCACTCAGGAGGTAGAAGGAGGCGGATCTCTGAGTTCTAGGCCAGCCTGGACTACAGAGTAAGTTCCCGGACAGCCAGGACTACGTAGAAAAACCTTGTCTTGAAGGAAAAAAAATGGAGATAGGGAAATTTCCCTGTTTAATAAATAAATACAATTATACTGTGAAGCCAAGCAGTGGTAGAGCTTGTTTTTAATCCCAAAGGCTTCTGAATTTGAGACCAGCCTGCTCTACAGAGCAAGTTCCAGGACAGTCAGGGCTGTTGCACAGTCTTGGGGTGGGGTTGGGGATGGGTTAGGGACAACACTGTGATTCCTTTTCAAGAAAACTATGTTTTTGTTTTCAATTAAATTTTTATTTTTATATTAATTATTAATTATAATAATATATAATTATTAATTATATATTATATTAATTATATAGCCCAGCTGTAGCCCCCTCCCTCACTCTCTCCAAATCCCACCCTCCATCCCTCATCCTCGCATTCCCCTCTTCAAGCCTACTGGTAGGGGAGGTCCTCCTCCTCTTCCCTCTGACCCTAGCTTAGCAGCTGTCATCAGAACTGGCTGCATTGGCAAGGCTGCTCCCGGCTGAGGGGGGGAGGGTCAAAGAGCCTGCCACTGAGTTCATGTCAGAGACAGTTCCTGTTCCCTTCACCACTATGTTTAAGAAGATCATTAGGGTTGGGGATGTAGCTCATTCATAGAGTGCAATAAAACTATGAATCTTGAGCGTTAATCATTGGAAAATTCTCTGGGTAATAATTTTTGGATTTGAATAATTAAATTGTTAGGTAGTTTTTATTTGATCCCAGTAAATTAAAAAATTAATCTCTACGCAGTAAATAGAAAAAAAAAATAACATGATTTTATGTAGTCAGCACAGATTTATGCTTCTGTTAATGTTTGTACAGAAATTGAACCAAAGAACAGTTTCTAAGACTTGAAAGCCATCTATGCCTTTGAAAAATAATGCACTAAAAGTATTAAACTAGATTTTTATTTCTCCCCTATAGTATTCTTTAAGGAAACAGGTCATACGTTAGTATGCTGCATATTTAGTTGTCTAAACTCTTTGTACTTGACGGTTTCTTTCCTGGTAATCAGTCTAAGAGACAAGACTAATGGATACGTTTTCAGAGTTTTTCATCAGATTTAAATCTCACATTGAAGCTCTGACATTTGAAAACCTCTAACAGTATTGGTAACAAATGTTATTGGTAAAGGACAAACAGCTCCAAAACATCTACTGGGTCCATTTGTGCTTGTAAAGATGACTCTACGTTTCTGTATTTAAGAAGTATCAAATATAGCAGAGCAATTACCTGTCATGAACAAGAATCTTGGGTTGAATCCCTAACATTTAAAAGAAAACCAAGTTGGGTGTAGTGGCACATACCTTTAATCCCAGCACTCAGGGAGGCAGAGGCAGGCGTATCTCTTTGAGTTCAAGGCCAGCCTGGTCTACAAGGTGAGTCCAGGACAGCCAAGGCTACACAGAAAAGAAACCCTATCTCCAAAACCAAAAAGTATATCTCACAAAGATTTCTCAAAATAGAAATCTATCAGTTTTAATTATATATGCCTAGAACAGGTTTTAAATGTCATCATTGTTAGTAGAAAACAAGAGCTGTCATTTGTTGAGCGCTTACTGTATTGCTGGGAACTGCTGCTTTACATATATCATCCTGTCAGTACTACATGAAGTTGATATAGATAGAGCCCCTTAAGATTTAAAAAAAGAAAAAGAAAAACCTCAGCGAGGGGTCTGGAGAGATGGCTCAGCAGTAAAGAGCACTGGATGCCCTTCCAGAGGACCCAGGTTCAATTTCCAGCACCCGCATGGCAGCTCACAGCTGTCTATAACTCTAGTTCTATAGGATCTGACATCTTCACACAGACATACATGCAGGCAAAATACTGGTGCACCAAAAAAAATCAATAAATCTTAGAAAGGCAGACAGACAGATAGAGATGGAGAATTAACCAGGCTTTTAATCCCTGTCAAGGCAGCCTGGTCTACATAGCAATTTTCAGGACAGGCAAGGCTTCATAGAGACCCTGCCTCAAAAAAGCCAGACTTGGTGGTGCATACCTTTTATCCCAGCACTTGGAGGCAGAGGCAGACAGATCCCTTAAGTTCTAGGATAGCCAGGGCTACAAGGAGAAACCCTGTCTTAAAAAGAAAAAAAAGGGGGAAAAACTAAGCAGTGTTGTGTCACATTAAGTGATAAAGGGTTATTAATGAACATTTGATAAGTGATAAAGGGTTATTAATGAACATTTGACAATAAGGCCCATGTTCTTAACCTCTGCAAGTCGAACTCTGAAGTACTGACTGAATATCCATCTGCTCATAGTACATGATAAATTCTGAGATGAAAGAAAAGACTGTCTTTTTATACTTCACACTTGTAATCACTTGTTGTAACGCTTTCCTGACTATATAAGTTCTGCTTATTTTTGGACTCTTCCTATCATCTTGAGGCTTAGCCCAGCCCTACCCTTTTATTTTCACAGTCCCCTGTGGTAGAATGTGTCATTCTTTTCTTATGTGTACATATCTCCACTGAATAGACTACTAGCTACATGGAAGAGTGGCTTCTTACACATGTCCTTTAGCTCTTGGACCTACCTAACTGATTTTATTACAATAGTTACAGCGTAATAAGGAACTTCCTCATGAGTAGATTAACTTTCAATCCTGAGAAGATATACTTACTATTAATGTGTATCTTCCTCACATAAATTTGGGAACATATTGTGCAGAAGATTTTGGTTTGTTTGTTTGTTCGTTCGTTTGTTTTTCTGTGAGCATTCTCCCAGATCATCTTTTGGTCTTCTCAGATGTATATTAAAGCTTTCGTGAAGATCCTTGAATATGTCTCCTATAAACAGAAAGTTGACCTGGGAAAATTAAAATAGCAAAGAAATAACAGTAAGCATAAAACAGGCAGATGTGCCTTCACGATACTAAAATGTGTGTCCAAGTGATGTTTGGCATTACACTGGCAACATACTAGAAATTCCAGAAACAATGAAGTGCATATAAAAAAAAAAATAAAAAAAAAAAAACTTAGCTTTGGTAGTAGTATCATTAAGAAATGATGGGAAAGCATTGGACTTCTTTCCGGTAAGCAATGCTAGAAAAGACTTACCATTTGGAAGTGAAATGTAACCTCTGTTGTCTTAAACAAACAAAACTTCACTGTAAGTAGATACTGTATGAATGTATGTGGGAGTGGATGGTTTTCAGGGGCAGAGGGAAGAGTTAACTCTGGGAACCACTTAGCCAAAGAAAAGCAAAGGCATTCATGACTCCCCTCTAGCATTGCCCAGTGATAGTTTCTGAGTAAAATGGCAGTGCCTCCAGAATAAAAGGCAGGAATTAGAATGCTAGAATAAAATTATTTTTAAGACTAGGCTGATCAAAGCCCTGCAGGCGACTCAGATACTTTTAGTCATCAGATAAGAGGCACTCAAATCACCTGAGATGTTAGGATGGTACAAATGAAGTATTAAAAGAGAAAAGAAGGAGGTAAATAGTCTATCATTATTTGGAGAATCTGAAAAATGTAATTGTTTAAAGTTTATAAGGGTAGAGGTGTATTTGGCGGTGACAGGAGGATATATAATTTTGGTACTATTATTTAAGTTTAACTCTGTAATGTAGAAAAATAAATCAGTTAACAAAAAACATGGCTAGGTTAAAAATAGAGCAAAAAAGTGCAGATTAAGAAGGCTGACAAAGAGTGACATTAATAACTAATAAGTGTGTCTTACAGTGTGTCTAAAAATTCCACTTAACCTTGTGCCTTGCAACATTTGGACAACAGCTACCACTTTTCTGCATTTTTCTAGTTCTTAAAATATTCTCAGGGGGGAAAGAACAATAAAATTATAGCTTAATTCCAAATAAATAATTTTAGTGTTTGCATTTTAGCTTCTGGCAGAATGACAAATAATTAATTCACATTGTTAACTTTTAGATGGTTTGTCTTCTGCTGATCCCAGCTCAGACTGGAATGCACCAGCAGAGGAATGGGGGAACTGGGTAGATGAAGAAAGAGCTTCACTTCTGAAGTCCCAGGAACCAGTTTCTAATGATCAAAAGGTAAGTACAAGGAATTAAGATGAGATTATTTGTTAAAGAGAGTGAGGAGAATTCTAAGCCACAGAACCTTAGAGGACAGTTGAGTCTCAGGAAGGAAGTGGTTATTGACCAGCATAAGAAACAGAGTAGTTAGACCTAAAAATTATCACTGTACTTACTACTTCCTTGTAATTTAAAGTATTCTCATTACAAATTTTGGAATTGGGTTGGAGGTATAGCTGTGTGGTAGAGCATATGCTTAGCATGTACAAAGCCCTGAGTTCAGTCCTCAGCATCAAAAAAGATTAAAAGAATGCTGGACTACAAACTGTATTTCAGAAAAATATGAGAGGTTGAGTGGTTAAGAGATTAGTATTAGGGATTGGAGAGATAGCTCAAGAGTTAAGAACACTGGCTGTTCTTACAGATGACTGCATTTGATTCCCAGCACCACATCACAACCATGTGTAATTCCAATCCCCGGTATCCAACTTCCTCAGGCACCAAAGACAGCATCGAGTCCACAGACAAGCAAAACATTCATACACATAAAGTAAATAATTTTCTTTAAAAAGAAGTACTAGCAAATAAAAGGTTCAGGGGAAAAAATAAGTAGATAGGATTGGAGGAGGAGCAGTAGATGACAGTGGTACACAGTATGAGGACGGATAGGAGAGGGTGTTAATAGAGATTTTAGTGCAGAGGTGGTAGACTAGTTACAGGAGAACCATAGAATCTGATGCAGCCCTTTGTAAGGGCTGTTCAAGTAAGTATAGACATCATGCCGGGAATTGAACTTGGGACCTCTGGAAGAACAGCAAGTGTTCTTTACTCTGAGCCATCTCTCCAGCTCAAGTTTGAGATCTAGAGAGTGGTATGGATGTGTGTGCAGCTCAGCCGCTCAGAGGCAGATTCCTTGCCTAGTCTATCTGTAAAGCCCTGGATCCCTTAATACTGCAAAGAAAAGGAAAAAGGGATGAATTAAAGCTATAGTAAATGAAGTATGAATAGATGCTTAAAAATGCACTAAACAGTAAGCAAAAGTTGAATGATACTGTAAAATATTTCTATGAAATTTTATGTCTTTATAAATTTTGAGAAAATTGAATGTACACAAAAATTCAAGGTAATGGTCCTCTCTTGGGAGAATGGGATCTAGACTTTGAGAGTTATTGGTAATGTTGATTTGGGGCAGTTTTGTGACAACCTCATCCAGTCCAAATTGTCCTTAAAGTCCTGATCCTCCTGTTTCTATCCAGTGAAGGTTTCTTGTTTGTCTGTTTGTTTCAACTTTTGCAACCCAGTCCCAATCATCTCTCCACCCCCTTATCCTCTCTTCACCTTTGCAACGTCCCCCACCAAAAAAAAAAAAAAAAAGCACAGAAAACAACTTGTCTGATAACTGTGTAGTGTGTCCTATACTATACTCCTCTGTCCACACATTGTTACTTGTAAGTGATTATTGTGATGAGATCTGGTTCAAGGCTTCTGCCACACCATCAATATTGAATCCTTACTGGGATCTCCTCCCAGTTATCCTGCTTTTGCCCTGTGTCATAGCGATCCTGTAGCTTTGAATTGGCAGGACCAGCCCATTCACACATTCCAACAGTTCACAGATGGTATAGATTTGGGGGGTGGGCCAACTCAAAGCCCTTGATCTGGGCCTGAGTAGTAGTTGAGCCCAGGGACTCTCCCAAATTGGCACCACCAGGATGAGTTCTCCAGCACTGCCTGGCTAGCCCACCCAGTGCTAGCACTGGCAGAAGGCAAGGTTGGCTCTCCCACTTTCATGCCCTAGGGGCCTGCTCGCCCACTCCTTTGCCTCCAGAGCCAGCTCCCCTGTGCTGCCCAGTTAAGGCACAGGGCCCACTCTCCCAAGTGCTAAAGCTAAGGGCCTGGGCCAGCTCTTCAGGGCTGGCTCACTTGTACCTTTCACCATCAGGGCCAACTCCACTGTGTTGCTCAGGCAATGTGCAGGGTAAGCTGTCCTCTCATGATCTCAGAGCCAGTTCTCCCAACTGCCTCAGTGGAGAGGGGCTCCAGAGAGTTTTTAAATAATGTAAGTTTTATTAAATTTTTGTTAGTTGCCTTATTGTTACTTGGATTTTGAAAGATAAAGACCAAACAGTGTCTGAAATTATTTCACAATTGTTCTGAGTAATATAAGCTTAACTAGGTGGTTTTACTTCAGTGTTTTGTTTTTAATATCAGGTTTCAGATGATGATAAAGAAAAAGGAGAGGGAGCTCTTCCAACTGGAAAATCTAAAAAGAAAAAAAAGAAAAAGAAGAAGCAAGGTGAAGATAACTCTCTTACACAGGTAAAGTACCTGAACAATGAGCATTCACTATGATGTACCTACTGTGGGTGGTATAGAAAGATAATGTACAGGCACTAAGAATATGTAGAGATAGATTCCAGCAGCTAAACCATCTATAAAAATTTTCGAGTGTTCTGCCTGACTGTGTATGTGTACCACATGTGTCCTAGTACCCACAGAGGTCAGAAGAACCCATTAGAGCCCCTGCAACTGAAAGTGTAGATGATTGTGAACCAACACACGGATGGTGGTAATCAAACCCAGTTCTGTTACAAGAGCAGCAAATGATCCTGGTCACTGGACCATCTCTCCTGCCCGCTCCAATGAGTTTTTAAAATATAAAAATTGGACTTTTGAAAATTTAGACATGGTAGAGAATTGTTGCATTGTATTATTACAATAAAAATTGTATTGCCCTAAAAATATATCAAGCATTTATACCTTTAAACCAAATTGCACATGTATTATGAAATGGTGAGATAAGAAAGGCAGTACAAGATCACACATGAAAGAACAAATGCCGAGCTTTTGCAGATCTGCCTTTAGCTTCACTAGCGTGTGGATGGACTAGACCTAAGTCCACTTCCGCTTCCCTCTTCACCTGCCTTCTAATCCTCCTCTGCAGTGCTAATGTCCCCCAGGAACATCTTTTTCTATATCCTGCTTCCAAAATCAGCCAGCACCACTTTTTTGCTCTCTCCATACTGCCAACTAACCATGGCTTTCCATATACTTCAGAAATAATCCACTAGAGTGGAGGCAGCCATCTGTGGGCCTCTCAACTACTATGGAGTCAAGAATAATATAGATCCATAAGGCATCATTTTTTCCACAAGCTACTTGATTGTGAAGTGCAAGGGTGACAGTGAAAACCAATATATTCTGGACTCCATGGTCTTAAGGAAAGCTGATCCATGTACTCTTTTGGCTCTTCATGCCTTGAGTCCTGCCTGAACTCTTTTAACGTCTCTCTAATCTCTGACTTCCTAGAGGACCATTTCATCAAGAGGATAGGCAGTGTTTTGGGATGTGGCTCCTTTGGTGAAGTACCTGCTCTACAAGCACAAAGACCTGATTCTGGATCTCCAGAACCCACAGGAAGAACTGGACAGAGTGTTATGTCCTGTAATCCCAGTCTCAGGAGGCAAGGGCAGTCAGATACTTCAGACAGGTCCCTGAAGCTCATTGTCTAGCCAGTCTCACCAAATTGGTGAGCTTCAGGTTCAGTGAGAAATCCTATCTCAAAAAATTAAAAAAGTGGTGGTCCACACCGTTAATCCTAGTGCATGGGAGTTCAAGTCCAGGAAACCCTGCCTGGAGAAGAAAAAGAAGAGAAAAAAACAAAACTTCTGTGCTGAACTTAAATTGACATTAGAATTCTGAGTTGCTATTCAAACCTGCTGTTGTATCACATTTCATAAAATAACAATGTTGGAAGGAAATTTTGTTATAACATTTGCTTATATGTGTGTCCATGCATGCAGCCATGCACTCCTGTGCCACAGCATGTGTGTGGAGGTCAGAGACTAACTTCTGAGGGTTCTCTCTACTGTATGCGTGATGGGGATCAGATTCATGGCCTGGTAGCAGGTGTCTCTATCCAATAAGCCCTCTCACTGCCCAGGAAGGAAAGTTTTGCAGTCATCTTGGGCAGTTTTTAGAGTAGTCACTAGAGTATGCCTTGACATTCAGTAAATTGTATGTCTTTTTTGTTTTGGTGTTTTTGGTTTGGTTTCATTTTCGTTTTCTGAGACAGGTTCTCTGTGTAGCCTCAGCTGTCCTGGATTCATTTTGTAGACCAGGCTGGCCTCTGCCTCCCTGAATACTGGGATTATAGGCACGCACAACCACACCAACAAATTCTGTGTTCTTTATATATGTAAGCATTATTTTGTTAAATTTTATAAATAGTGAACACTGGATACATTAAAACTTAGAACCATAGAAATTTCCTGTAGAATCTTTCACAGTTAAGGGAATAAAAACACAAGCTAAGAGATTTGTCCCTGGAATTACATGGATAAGTCATGTCTTGACTCTTTATAATATGTACATGTGAACACATTACTCCTTGAAGAAGTCACTAAATGAAATGCCTTTTTTTTTTTTTAAGGTTTTGTTTCCATATCAGCCATGCCTCTTGTAAATTGAATGCTAAGTTTATTCTCTTTGAGTTGGCCTATTTGATTACAGTGATTACCATTCTGGTATGTGTTTTAGTATATGTAATTTAAAGAGACAGGATTTGAAACAGGGTTTCACTCTGTAGCCCACGCTGGCCTTGAACTTGTAACAGTCCTCAAATAGCTTTCTTCTTCAGGACACAGAAGAACCAGAAAAGGACATTAGAGAAGAGCTTCCAGTGAATACCTCCAAAGCCCGTCCAAAACAGGAAAAAGCTTTTTCCCTGAAGACCATGAGCACTAGTGATCCAGCTGAAGTACTCGTCAAAAATAGCCAGGTAATTTTTAAAGAATAATAAAGTTGGGCTGAAGAGATGGCTCAAAGGTTAAGAGCACTGGCTGCTCTTCTAAAGGTCCTGAGTTCAATTCCCAGCAACTACATGGTGGCTCACAACCATCTATAATGAGATCTGGTGCCCTCTACTCGAGTGCAGGTATACATGCAGACAGAACACTATATATATAATAAATCTTTTTTAAGAAGAATAATAAAGTTGTGTTGCCTTAATAATTGTACAATAATTCATATTTTATTGAAGTACTATGCTAAACATATGAGATGCAGTGACCACAAAGAAAATTTAAAGAGAAATGTAGAACAACTTAGGTGTGGTGGAGCACACCTTTAAGCCAGCACTTAGAAGGCATAAGAAGGTGAATTTCTTGAGTTTGAGGCCAGCATGATCTACGAAATGAGTTCCAAGACAGCTGGGACTACACAGAAAAAAAGAAAAAGAATCAGCCTAGTCTACAAAGTGAGTTGTAGGTCAGCCCTGTCTCCAAAAAAAAGGCATAGGGCTTGGCACTACCTGCAGTTTCAAGCACCCGCTGCTAGTCTCCAAACAGATCACTTCAGTGTTAAAGGGATTGCTACACTATGCTTTCCCCTCCTAAACATCTAGGCATGGAAGATAGAAGACCTAAGAGAAAGCTCTTTTACCACTGCATTTACCCAAAGTACCCACCTTAATATGACCAGTTTCTCAAAATGTAACATTTGTTTAATTTTTTTGAGGCTTTATTATGATTTTGCTTTGTTGTTTGAGACAAGGTTTCTTAGAGCTCTGGCCAACCTCAAACTTATTGTCTAGCCACAGCTGGCATAAATTCCTGAACCTCCTGCCTCTACCATCCCAATGCTGGGATTTTTACACCTGACAGTGACAAGTCTTTTAGTCATGTGCCTCCTCTGGAATTTTGATGTCAGAAGAGACTTGTTTATGAAAGTTCTAGGTCAGTGACATGAAATAAAAACATGATGATTTCTGATTGGGTAACATGCGTGTGATGGTTTGAATACCCCTCCCCAGAGGCCCATATATTTGAATGGTTTAGTCATGAGGGATTAAAACTCTTTGATAGGATTAGAAGAATTAAGAGGTGTGGCCTTGTTAGAGGAAGTGTGTAGTTAGAGATAGTCTTTGAGGTTTCCAGTGTCCATGCCAGATCCAGTCTCTGTGGATCAGGTGTAGCTCTCAGCTACAAATCCAGCACCATCCTTGCCACCATGCTCCCACCATGATGAGTAACTCTGAAACTGTAAGCCAACCTCCAATTAAATGCTTTCTTTTATTAAGAGTTGTTTTGGCTGTTGTATCTCTTCACAGTGATAGGATAGTCGCTAACACATTGAGCCTTATTAAAATATATCCTAGGGGGCTAGAAAGTTGGCTCAGTGGTTAAGAGTCCTGTTGCTCTTGCAGACCAGGGTTTGGTTCCCATTACCCACATGGTGGTTTACAACCATGTAACTACAGTTGGGTACCAAACAGATGGTATACGTAAATATTTTCAGGCAAAACACTTACACCATAAAATAAATTTTAAGGATTTAAATAAAGTACATTCTTTTTGAATTGCCTGATTTACATGTTCAAAAATTAATGTTTCTGTTTTTCAAAACAGGGTTTTTTTGTGTAGCTGTGGCTGTCCTTGGACTCACTCTGTAGACCAGCCAGCCTGGAACTCACAGAGATCCGCCTGCCTCTGCCTCCGAGTGCTGGGATCACAGGCTTGCACTTCCGCACCCAGCTCAAAAAGTATTTTTGAAGTTTGTGTGCCACCTGCTATTTGAGTAACTAGACACAACACTGGACAAAACATAGCATTCTGTCTGATGAAACTTTTACAGTTAGCAGGCCGGCTCTAACAAAAGTGCTACTAAGACAAGGAGCTCTAGTGGTGATGTTCTAAAATGGTAGTCAGACTTTCCACTTAGGTTTGATGCTGTGCTGTTCTGTTCTGTTCTGTTCTGTTCCAAGACAGGGTTTCTCTGTGTAATCTTGGCTGTCCTGGACTCAGTTTGTAGAATAGGCTGGCCTTGAACTCATAGTGACACCTGCCTCTGTCTTCTGGAGTACTAGCATAAAAGTGTTCACCACCACACCCGGCAGATTTGATGCTATTAAATACCTAAGTAATCTGAGGTAAAATATAATCTCAGTATACATAAAGGTGAGTATTACAGCAAAGAGTGGTTTGACATTCTAATGGGTTTTTTCTTTTTTTGCTTGTGGGTTTGGTTTGGTTTGCTTTGGTTTGGTTTCTTGAGACAGAGTTTCTCTGTGTAGCCTTGACTATCCTGGAACTCACTCTGTAGACCAAGCTGGCCTAGAACTCACAGATAACCCCCTACTCTGCCTTTTGATTGTTGGGATTAAAGGTTTGTGCCACCACTGCCATGCAATGTTTATTGTTTTTATCTTGAATTATACTTAGAGATGTAGGTGATTTGTTTAGTTCTGTCACTGGAGGGCAGAAATGAGTTACAGTGCTACCCTATAACCTAATTAGAAGCCATTTTAATTTTGCATGCTGCTAAATAGTCTCTGGATACTGCTGTAATGCTTAATGTGTTACATGAAATCTACACAAAATTCTGAGATAATTGTATTCCAAAATAGCCTATCAAGACTCTTCCACCTGCTGTATCTGCCGAGCCATCTGTTACCTTATCAAAAGGTGACTCTGATAAGAGCTCTTCCCAAGTGCCACCGATGTTACAAGACACAGACAAACCCAAGTCAAATGCTAAGCAAAACAGTGTGCCTCCCTCACAGAGTAAGTGCTTTGTTTGCCTTCTTGCATTTTTTTCTTACCTGCCTTCTGGAAATGTGTGGTTCCTTGAAGTTTCTCAGACTTGAGTTGTAAGAACCAGGCTGCTAAAATCATGTAATCTGTAAGCACTGAAGACAGTAAGAGCAGGCTTGGGTCATGCCTGCTCGCTTGACTCTTTGCCCTTTTTATTTGCACATGTTCCTGGGGCTCCCTGTTACTTTTTTTCCTTCTCTTCACCAGCTATCAATCCAAAGGAGCCAGCTATATAATGGTGTTCCATCTCAGAGAGGCAGGAGGGAGGTTGCCAACAGTTGAGTATCAGCTGTTACAGTTAATATTTTGGGTTAGAAAAGATCGGACGCAGATAATAGCTAACTTGAAAATATTTAAGGCTGGAATACTTAAATTATAAAATTTGAACATTTAAAATCGTTTTTTCCATAGTTGTTTTGTTTTGTCTTTTTTAGACAGGGGCTGTCCTAAAACTTGCTCTATAGATCTAACTGGCCTCGAACTCAAGAGATCTGTGTACCGCTGCCTCTCTAGTGATGGGGTTAAAGGCCTGTGCTACCAAAGCCTGGCAACATAGTTGTCATTTTTATATTATTGATTATGTACTGACCATCCTCCTTACACTTTTCTCTCCTTACCACCCCTTTTCTTTTTCCTTTTAGCCAAGTCTGAAGCTAACTGGGAATCTCCAAAACAAATAAAAAAGAAGAAGAAAGCCAGGCGGGAAACGTGAATTATTTTTTTCTCTGAATTGGACATGTGTTTACAAACACTGTCTTGAAGAATATGCTGTTTATGCAATAATTTGTGAACATGTACAGAGTTTTATATAAATTTAAACCAATTTTTAAAACAAAACTGAACACAACCACCATAAAATGGAATCAAAGGAAAGTTAATTTATGAAATTAAGAGGTCAACAGAATACATACTGCAGTACTGGAAGACACTTGGGAGAGTCTTTTCAATTAAATGAGAATGATCTTAATTTAAGAATATTATCCTGGTTTTACAACAGTTCCCTGTTTACAACGGATTGTGCCCTGTCTCATCTGCAGCTGAGGAATAATGGATTCTGATTGGAGAAAAGGCTGCCTAGAAACCAGTAGGCAACTCCTTGGATCTTAATGCACAAACTTAGACCATTTGAATCTGTTTTATGCTTAAATCAAAGTGCTTTGATCAAATGCATAATCTGCCATATCTTTACATATTTGTTGTAGCAATTTGTATTAAAAGAATCACAAGTGCAAATAAAAAGTCATTTATCATTTGTTTAACTAAACTGTCTTGGTTTAGTTTACAGTTCTTTAAAAGTTCTTAATTAAAACATTGAAATGCAATTGACAGACACTTATGGCTTACAAAGTTATTTTTGATAGTCTTACATTACTTGAATTATTCAAAGTAACAGTATATTTTAAATTAAGAAAGGTGAACTATATTATTTGTTTGATATGTTTAAGACTGAGACTAACAGATAATGCTCTTGTTCATTGATTTGAAAACTTCAGGCAAAATCCAACTTAATATTTCTTTCTTTCCCCATCAGTTTTTCCAGTGTCAAGTCTTAGTTGCTAGTAATTTTTTTTACCTTAAAAATGAAGTAATTCATAACTTTTGAGCATATGATGGAAAATGGAAAAGTAATTAATTGACATTGTTGAGACCTCCAGTTATCAGGAATACATTTTTTTACTGCCTTAACCTGTAGTACGTAGAATATGCATCAATTTCTTGAAGGGGATTCATGTTTTTATAAGAATTTTCATGTAACTATTGCAATTGTGGTCAAAAAGGAACATTTTCTGCTTGAAACTGTGTTGATTTAAGTGATGTATGATCTGTCACCATTTTCAGGCACTGTGTGATCCCTAAGAAACTGGCAGGCCTCTCTGTAATTGTTAATAGTGCATGCTTGGCCATGTACACTGTAAATAGCCTTTACCAAGCGTGTTTGACAAGGACCATAATTAACATCACTTAGTGAATTGTGATTTTTAAAAAAAGCCATGATTTATTGATGTGAGTGGCTTGTTTTCGTGTGGCTCCAGGAATGAACCTGTTTAAAAGCTATAACCAATGGTACTGATCTATTCATTAAATACTGTCTTTATATTTGACTGTAGTTTAATAATATTGTCAACTAGGAAAAGCTACAAGATGTAAAAATGGTTTTAGTTCTGTTGAAGACTGGCCTTATTACTGGACAGCTTTCCTCACATGCAATCAACAACTTTTCACTGGGTATTAACATCTGTTTCAGGAACATGGCAGTTTACATGTTGTCTGAAGTTTTGTTTGATTGAATAAGATTTCTAAATTAATTGAGTTGTTTAAATAAATGCAGAAATAGATAGCATTGTTTTTATTTGCTTCACTGTTGGGTGAATATTAGCTGATGTGCCAGGAATAGAGCCTTCACATGGCTGCTGAGCTTCCTGTTCCCTCAGGGGGGCTGCCACACTGTGTCTCAAGGAAATTTTGATGGGGAGTCTGTAATTACAGAGTGTGCCAAAAGGTCAGTGCTCACAAGTTTAATTGAACTCTCTCAACTCTACCTCACCGTTCCTTTTTCTTATAATTCTTTGGGCTAGGTCAAACATGAAACTTTATTTCTCAGTTCAGTATCTCCCAATTCAGTCACTTCTTGTAGGAGGCAGCACCTATACCATGTAGTAAGAAACCATCTTTTTGAGAAGAAATGTGTCATGGGAGTGGGCAAGCACAGTCATACACTGGGTGGGTCGGTGTATAGATAGCCTCTGTGCCTGCTTTCTCTCTGTTTATTTTTTTAGAAGGAGGCAGCTATATGAGTGAAAATTAAGCCAGTTCTCATAAAATTGTTCATTGCTCTTTGCCTCTTTATAGATCTTTATGTGGCAAGACAGTGGAGTTTTGTTTTTGTTTTTGTTTTTTTTTCACTGAACAGTTACTGGTTTCTGTCATCAGCTCAGAAAACTCAGAAATCTAGGTAATTAGGGAGTGGAGGTAAAGGCCTGCTGTTCTGTGCTGGCTGGTTAAGGGCCTCTGATGCCTCCTGCCTCTCTGAAATAGGTTCTGGGAAAAGCCTTTCTGTTCTTGAACAGAGTGTAGGCATGTCAGAGTTCTCCAACTGCATTATCCCTGTCTATACCTTAAATTGAGAAATAAACAGTTGAGAGAGTCCAAAAAGAAAGTATTGAAATAAAATATCATTAATGTAATTTACCATGTTTAATTTGTGCATGCATTTTATTGAGGAGGGGAGGTTGGAATAATTTATCCAAATCTAATGGTATTATTTTGTAGGCTAATCCAGTTTGTATTTGAGTTAAAAATCCCAGAGGGTAGTAATTAATTGCAGAGTTTAGTTTTTCTTAATTAAAAACAGTCCTCTTAATATAGTGTGAAATATCAAAATTTAGGATTTAGGTTTAAGGTATCTAATGGCTATCTTAAGGTTTTCCTGTAAACTCATTGCACAAACTGAAATTGGAATTGCTTTCAAAAGACTTGGGGAATGAAAATGTGTCATGTGTAAGATGCACTGAGTGTTGTAAATAAAACAGACCATTTTTGTTTTGTTTAAATTGTTTGTTAACATTCTGTGTGGGAAGGGACTTTGTCCTTTTATGTTGTTCTATTTAAGATATTGAGCCTTTGGTTCATGAGTTTTGTTTTTCCTTTCAATTAAAACCATTTCAGGCTTTGCCAACAAAGAATCATATATTTGAAGTTAAAACATCTGAAAATGAACATTTGCAGCCGGACATGGTTATATTCTTCTTTACTCACAGTACTCAGGAGGCAGAGGCAGGTAAATCTGTATGAGGCTATTCTGGTCTACACAGTGATTTCCAGGACAGCCAGGGCTACAGAGTGAGACCCTAGAGGTGGGGAGGGGGCCAGTGAGCATTCGTGATAGTGTCCTCCATGGGAAACAACCATAGGTCAGCTTAATAGGTGTGGCCTTTTAGGTTAAAGAAATTGAACTAGAATTTGGCATGTGGGTATATAGATTAGCTGTGTTCCCAAATAGTAGTGACTTAAGATACTTGTTTCTGTTACGTATAAAAATCTGGGGAGATGGCTCAGCCCTTAAAGTATGGCAGATAACTAACTCCCACATAAGAAATTAGGTGCAGTAGCGTGGGCTTGTAATCCCAGTACTGGGAAGGCAGAAGCATTCCTAGGGCTTGCTGGTAGCCAGTCTAGCCAAATTGTTGAGTTCCAGGTTCAGAGACCCTGCCTTTAAAAAGGTGTGAAGAGTCATCAGAGGACACCTGTTAGTCTCTGGCTTACACATACGAGTGTCTGCACAAACATGAATGTATACACATAAAGGGTCTGGCAAGTAGGCCAAGTGTGATAGTACAGCAGTGGGGGTTCTTCTGTGTTGCTTCCTAGTTGTGGAAGACGGCTGCTTTCACTGCACACTTCCTGTCAGCACCTGGGCCACTTGGAAAAAGCATTTCCCAGAGAATGTTCATAGAAATCACTCTGGAGCCTAAAGTTGCAAAGGTTGCTTGGTCCCAACAGCTGTAAAGGATGGGGCGGGGGGTGGCAGGAGTAGTTTTTATCCAAGGTTTCTGTTGGCTAGATTCATATTTTCTGCTTCTGTAATGAACAGAATTAGGCAGAGGACACTGCTGCTAGTCTCAGTGTTTGCGTACCAAAGCATTTCTGAGGTCATTTAGCTTTTCCAGCTATGCAGAAATTTAAAACTTGTGGATGCTCTGATTTCTTTCTCTCGACAGGGTCTCACAATGTGGCACTGGCTGTCTTGGAACTCACTATGTACCTACCCCATGCTAGCCTTTAACTCGCTAGTGCTAGGGTTAAAGGCATGTACCTTTACTGCACCACTACACCTGGCCCAATTTTCTACTTAGTAGTTTCTGGGGAAAAAAAAAAAAAAAATGCCACTTTGTAACAGCTTCAGAGCTGGAGAGTTGGCTGATGGTAAGAGTGCGTGCTGCACAAGCATGAGGTCCTGACTCTCAGCACCTATGTAAAAAGCAGGGTTTGACCACATGCCTGCTTGTAACCCCAGCACTGGTATGGGGCTTAGAGGTGGCAGCCTAGCTGCAGGTTCAGTGAGAGACCCTGTCTCAAAGGAGTAAGGTGGCAAATGATGGAGCAGAATATTCAGTGTCCTGCTTTAGGCCTACACGTGTGTGCGTCCCACCACACTGAAGAGCTGGTTAAACTGAGAGATGCTGAGACATTCTGTTGCCACGCTGCAAGTGTGGATTATAAGTTGTAATAAATGCCCAGCCATGCAAAAATCATTGAAAAGTAAACACTACTGCAGTTCTATTCTTAAATACTTTTCTTACTCTAGCATCAAGACATGCTTTTTTTTATTTTTATCTCCCCCCCAACCACACATAGGGTTTCTCTGTTACCTTCCACCTTCCTCTGCCTCCCGAGTGCTGCGTGTGCCACCATCACCCAGCCACTTCCAGAAACTTTAAAACATAATAAAAGATACATCTAAAACCACCACTGCTTAAATGAAACACCACCAGTGTGGGAACATCAAGCAGCAGTGAACCTGAGGTGAGCGTGACTATTCGTTCGGTAATGGATGAAAATGGGTACTCTAAAATGCCTACCTTGGAAGACATGACTAAGGATTCCAGGTAATGTGTACCCTGGTCTCAGCCTGTTCACAATAGTCACATAAGCCACCCTTGAGACATTGAGTGCTACCTCCTGGAAAACTCCTGAGTATGCATAGCTACTGTGGCTACATGTGAGTGATGCCACCTGGAGGTCAGAGCACAGCTATGTGAGAGCCAATAGGGGAACAGCAAGTGCCCCCTCCCCTCAGTGAGGCTCTGACAAATAGCAAAGGGAGTTCATGGTATACAATAGCTAGTGTACTGCGGCTTAAGACGATTGGAATTACAAATGATTCTCCTCTAAACTGCAGATTGCTGTTGTAACAATTCTCGTATCTAGTCAAAATTGAAACAAGCTAATAATGAAAATGTGAGAAAACCTGCCTAAACACTGGGCATCCTTGGTGCTAGATGTTTCTGTTACTAGAATCAGATCAAGGCTGCATGAGGAGTTGATAGTAAAAAATCTCAAAAGATTTCATCACAAAGTTAAATTATAAGACAAGATTGTAATGTTAGGTTGAAGATATATTTAATAAAACTCAGTAGCAACTGGGCATGGTAGCACACTCCTTTAATCCCAGTAGAGGCAGGCAGATCTCTGAGTTTGAGATCAACATGGTCTGCATAGTTCTAGAACAGCAGGGATATGTAGAAAGACCCTGCTTAAATAATGACTATTCAATAGCCACAGACCACAACCATCTACAAATTGAGTTCTGTGGGATCTGAAATCCCCTTCTGGCCTCAATGAGTACCAGGCAAGTACATTGTATGTAGATATACACACAGGCAAAAACATGCATGCATATAAATATTTTGAATTATTATGGAAAATAAAGACTAGTTGAAAATCTAGTGGAGATGGCCCAGAGGTTAAGAGCACTGGTGCTCTTCTAGAGAAGCAGCAGCTCATTACATGAGGTACTGGTCCATAGTAAACCTGCTGTTCACCCCATGCACAAGAATAAACTTAAGTAGAAAAGAGATCCTCTGTAAATTTAAAAAAGGAAAAAGAAAGAAAAGGAAAGAAAGAGGAAGGAAGGAGAGAGAAAAAGGAAAGAGAAAGAAAAAGATAGATAGATAGATAGATAGATACATACATACATACATACATACATACATACATACATACATACATACATACATACATACTAAAGGAAAATGTGGATCCAGGGAGATAGCTACCAAGCTTAACAGTCTGAAAGTGGTCCTTTGACCTCTACCTTGGAGCTGTGGTATGTACATACACACAAAGAAAATAAACGTATATAGAGGCCAGGTGTGGTGGTACACACCTGTAATCCCAGCACTCCAGAGGCAGGGGGACCTCTGAATTTGGAAGCCAGCCTGGTCTATTACAGAGAAACCCTGTCTTGACAAACAAAAGTTGTGCATAGCTTTAAATAAGTTTTATGTGTATGAGTGTTTGGCTACATATATGTCTGTCTACCACATGTATGCCTGGTACCCAAGGAGGTCAGGAGGGCATCAGATCCTCTGGAATTGGAGTTTCAATGATTATAACCTGCCATGTGGGTGCTGGGAGCAGAACCCTGATCATTTACAAGAGCAAAATGTAAATTGCTGTATATTGTGGGTATAGGGAAATATGTCTATGGCCCAAAATCCAGTTGTAAGTTTTAAAAGACAGATGCAGTTTATCTAAAAAAAAAAAAAAAAGTGACAGGACCAAGAAATAAATAAATAAACCACTGCAAACAATGTCAAAAGACAAATGACATCTTATGCTAATTAGACAGATGGGAAAAAAAGAAAGTAGGGACCCTCTCTGGGACAGACTTTTCTAATGCAATGCTTACTTGTCATTCCTGAAGTCAAAACAGTCCGTGTGATGAGCACAGGCCCTGGGTTCTCTCCACAATCATAGGAGTGGTGGGAAGTTGAGTTCACAGAAATCTCACACACGGGGCTGGAAAGATGGCTCAGAGGTTAAGAGTACTGGCCGTTCTAAAGGACCCAGGTTTAATTCCCAGCACCCACATGGCAGCTCACAACTGTCTGTAACTCCAGCGGTCTGACACCTTCACACAAATGTACATAAAATTAAATAAACTACTTAAAAAAAAAATCTCATACACACCCAGGGAGCCCATGAACTCCTTGCTGGAGAATTGTATCTCCTGAGCACTCAATATAGAGTTTATAGATGTACATATATATATATATATATATATATATATTATATAAAAAATAGAGTTGATATATATGTATATATAATGTGTGTGTACAATGATAACCAAGACCAAAAGGAAAAAACAAAAAAACAGGCAGCTTTAAGGGGTATAGTGTCACTGTGCTCTCTGAGGCAGGAGACACTGAAACTACAATTGCTACAAGGGAGAAAACCCCATGTATCATTCCAGACTCTAAACTCAGATATGCGGCATCCTCTCTCCCATCACTGGGCTTTCATATACACACAGAGCAACCAAAATCCACCCCAGACCCCAAGGAGGGGACTAGAGTGGTGGCCGGGCAGGTGAGACTGCTTACAGCTCTCCCAGAGGACTGGGGTTGTGTTCAAGGCAGGGAGGCCCACAGCTTGCTGTGGCTCCATATGATCTTCAGGTGGCTGCTTCAGGACTTCCCACGAGAGGTGTTTTGAAATGATTCCTGTAGCCCAGGCTGCTGCAGCTCACCAATTTCCCTCTCTCTCCCCCAACTCTCTCTCTCACACACAAAATCTTTTTTTTAAGTCCCCAAGCGTCAGGTTACAGGTAACTAATTAAGAGGAACAGCAGGAGGAACGTGAGCCCCCCCCCCCATCCAACCCATATCTGGATTAAGAGGCTTAGAAAGAATCTGGGCTCAGTGGTTAGAGCACATTTTGCTCTTGCAGAAGACCTGGATTCAGTTCCCAGCACCCAGGATAAGCTGCTCATAACCACCTGCAGCTCCAGCTCCAGAAGAGATATCAGAGTCCAGAGAACTTGGACTCG